GTTTCGAATTTTCTGTTGGTTTTGCTGCTTATGGAAAAAAATGAGATTCAACTTCCTTGTTAAGAAAAGGCAACTTCCAGACAAAATCAAGCAAAATGATGAATGCATCTACTCGTCGTAATCAATAGATTGATTGCCATCGAAACTTCGATCACTACATTACTGGTTGGTTTTCGTTGTGATCAATATATCGATTACTCCCAATACGTCTACAGTAGTTGCAGCATTTTATCGATTGTCTGATTTTCATCGTTATCGAGATTTTGATCGTAACCAAAAGATCGATGCTCGCTCCGGTCAATATATCGATTGACTAACCTGGACAGTTCAGCTCATCACTAAGATCTCCACAATCATCAACTCCGTTACATCGTCGTGATTCTGGTATACATCCACCAATTGCGCAGAAGAATGACCCTTCAATAACGGAACATTTTTATTGCTAATTTTGGAAAGATTCTTGATGGAATAAAAGAAAATAGTATAAAATATATGAAAATTCTTTGGTAAGTGGTAGTTGTTCTCTGAATAACACAAGCAGTAACACTGACTTGTTTTCAGGGCGCACTGCTGCACTGTCAAATGAATAAATAAATAATCAACAAGAAGCAACTGTGGGAGGTTTTAGTTAAAATTCAACAATCAAGAAAAAGTATGTTTCAGATACGTTATAAGAACGAGTCGGGTTCTTGTATCCGATTAACAACGATCTTCAGCACAAAATACATCGCAGTGTGTAAAAATGGTGAATGAGAAAGCGGAGAGGAAGTGCCTCAAGAGATCCATTCGCACTGATGCGGCGTTAGTTGTGCGGCATTCGCACCAAGGCCTATTTGATTTAACGTGGTGTTTAGTCAACTACCTAGGAAATTCACCTGCATGCTTCTGTTCGTCTTCGCAATGTTGATCCCCTCAAATACATCCAGAAACTCCTAGATGGACAATAGGTTCGTTTTTTGGCGACTTGAGCTTGCAGCAGATTTAGAAAGATTGTACCACTGTATGCTTGTGAGTCCCTAAATAAGGTGGGTGCCCAGTCTCCGGTGTACACTTCCCCCTATGGTCAACTTTTCAATTCCCTGATTTCCGTCGTGGTCCAGGTCTCGATCGTGACCAGTAGATTGATACGCGTGTTAATCAATATATCGATTTAAGTTAAATAAGTTACTGGTAAAATTTTGCCAGGTCTGTTGCCAGTTTTCGTAGCCAATGTCCGGACTTATTGTCCATCTAGCTTGCCCGGGTGTTTTCCGAGGAGATCGGCATAGGCCTGCCGGGAATTCGTAGTACTCCTACACATTCGCGCACCTATGAACCGAACCTAATGTTGCACACCTACAGCCATGAATCTTGCATGCGATAGGGCCTATGATGGGGCGTGAATCGAGGCGCTTCTCACGTAGCCTTTCCGGAAATACAATCGCTATCCTCGAATTCTGTCAACTGATTTGACGGGAAGGTGTTCTGGCTGCGATCTTAGCTGAACGGCCCCTCATACCCCTTACGCTCGCGTCAGATCCGTGACGCAGAAGTACGATGGTGGTGGCAAAAGCAATACCCTGAATTACGCAGGATATATTTAAAGGCTCACAGTAGGCTTGGTCGCTACATCTTTGTTTGGTATTCACAACAGGGGGTACGTAATTTGGTTGCTGGGTAGAGGTGGGGATGTTTCATTGGCCAAAAAAATTTTCTTTTTGTATTAGTTGAGTCTTCTTGTTCAGGGATTGTTTGAAGGTGGTCTTAATTGCTCGTTGTATTGGATGAGGGGGAGGTCGTGATTTCACTTCTAACATCTGAAGAGAAGTGCTGGACTTTTCGTTTTCTAATTGTCCATCTTACTAAACACGCACACGCACCTTTACCCCCCACTCCTCAGCTCGACAACACAACGACAACTAAAGTTGTGGTGTAAAAGTAAATAAAATTTCGGGAATCCCGAGGAAAAGTGGCAGTCTGGAGTGGAAATTTGTTAAAGAATTTAGTAAGTAGAGAGAGAGTGGAGGCGTATTCGCTCGCGGTTCACATGCACCGGAGTCGTATCGACGCTCGGATTGAGGCCAACGAGGGGGGGGGGGTTGTACCAACTCCCTCAAAAAAAGGGAGGGAGGCCGTACGGACTCGACTAAAATCTTCAACTAATGATGTGCCCAGAGTAGGCTTCCTAGCTTCGCAATACTCCCTCCCCCCTCCCCCCTCTCAAACTTTTTTATAGAGTAATCACATCGACCGTGAATGAAAAGCGATCATAATCCAGAAAATAGGGATTTTTTCTATAAACAGTTACAGGCAATTTTTTTCGATACTATGCTGACACTATAATTAGAAAGGAAAAATTTAAGTTTCAAAATAAAGCCATAAGGAAACGATTATTCTGATTGACGGTTTTCATGCACCTCTTACGCATGCTGGTATTTCGCAAATAAACGGTCGAAGAATGTTGCATCGCTCCAGACTCCATTCGAGATCCGATTTTGAAAGGGTTCCCTAAAAATATTTTTTAATAAATTCCGTTCAAATTGCAGCGAGTTTAGCACCGGCAACATGCGAAACTGGTGCGTCGTCCATACCGGAGGGCGAAAAATGGTGTCTAGGCGGAGGCTGCGTATCTCGTGCCGACTATTTTTTACACATATATATGACATCGTTGCAATCAGTCGAGGCGGTGGCAGGAAGCAAGGAATGAGTCCATCCGCGAAGTTTTCTACCATTGGTTCCCTTCTTCCCGAACCGGATTGGTTCACCAAGTAATTGTTACTGGTAGAAAAGGCAGCCGGGGCGGGCTCACTATATCTTTTCTGACACGCCCTGACTGACTGCAAAGATATCAACTATATATCACTGCTGTCCTCGCCTCTGTTGCAGCAACGCCCCTTGTTGCTCTCAGATATGGACTGTACGCTTATTATTACCCACCATCGCACAACTGCCAGCCTTATAGTTTGGCTGGGATTCTTTCCAGAATCCCACATATCTGCTTGCAGGTACTCCATCGCTCCAGAGAAAAGCGACATCGCCTGATTGCTGCTGTGCGGCGAGTCCTGAAACTCATCAGTTAGAAAAGAAAATATGAATAATTACAACAAAGAGTAAATAGCGGCAGTAGATGGTAAAAAATTACAAAAATGTCAATCAATAAC